TCTCTCTTTTTCTTTTAAGAATGCTTCAGAGATGTCATATATGTACGGCTAGATGAACTACTTCTTGCTTTAAAGTCTGTAATGACTAAATATCAGAGCCTCAATTCCACTGATCTTCAGAATGCTGCGGATATGCTTATTGCAAAAGTGAAAGGTAAGGAAGTATGTTAAAAGTGGACTGAAGTGAGCAAAAGGATTAAACCTTTATCTTTTGTTCCATTTGGATTGCTCCTTTACTTATGACATTGCTATGCTGTGTATCAATAAAGAATTATGTCTCCTTTTCTATTTAAATATATCTGCTGTCATCTGTGAGGAGTTTCTTCCTGTCTTTGTTATCTACTGCTGTTATAACAAATTCCACAGATGTATGACTTTAGCAAAGAGACATTTACTTTCTTATAGTCTGATGTTTGGTCCTGTCCAGTTGGTACTAACTCTTAACTGGTCCTCCTGTGGGTTTTCAGAAACAGTAAATCACATGAGAGAAGACTGCCCATCTTTCTCTCGCAGAGCAGCTGGTAGATCTAAACTTTGTGCCTTTGGGTTGGCAGTACAGCTCCTTAACACTAGGCCACCAGAGCTCCCTATAGGACTTTACTATTCCAATCTTGATCTTTGTTGATTGATTCACAGTTTCTTTGGGCCCAGAATTCTTAGAAACTGCCATGTGTCTTTTCAGCAATTTTCCTTTGACTTTTGGTCTGAGGATTCTGGATTCAAAGAATGAGTATGCTTCCAGCTGTTCTTTTTCTGTGGTATTGGCTCTCTCTAATCTAGGCTTGCTTGCTTAATTTCTTTTATATCTCAAAAGGGTTTGTTGCAAGATACAGCCCACTCCTGTATGTTTTATCCTGTCTCATTAAGCACAACTGCCTCAGATCCTACCTCGTCATAGAGGTGAGGATTTGCAAACCATTGTATAATTACATCAGATCACAAAATAGAGGATAATTACATAATACTAAGAGTCATGGTCCAGGGAAGTTAGTACATATTTTTTGTGTGTGTTGGGGGAGAATACAATTCTATTTATGACCTTCCTTCTAAAATTAAAATTATATTTATAGTGAGCACTCTAGAGATACTAAATAAACTAACAAGTAACATAAAATTGACATTTTTTAAAGGGTACATTTCAAGTTCTGTTGTGAGTTATTATTAATGTATATTCAGTGATTGGGGGTTATGTGTGGATTAGTGATGATGGATAATGATCATTTTTGGTATCCATTTAGAATCCAAGTGGAATAAATTAAGCTTTAATTGGGACATTATTTTAAATATGAAAACAGTAATTTTTAAAGGTTCTCACATGTATGTGTGTGTCTGTACATACATTAAATGTGTAGGTAGGTAGGTAGGTAGGTAGGTAGATAGATAGATAGATAGATAGATAGATAGATAGATAGATAGCAAGTATATAGTAAAGCTTAAAATTAAGAACTCCAGGTAGGATATTACCTTCTGAAGAAATGACTTTTGGTTAGAGTTAGACTGAAATCTGTAAGAAAGATTGAGGATGAAGGGAATGTTTGAGAAGAGCTGAACTTAGAAACAAGGGAATCACTTAAGAGATTATTAAGAACAAGGCTAGGTGAGGCTTGAAAGTCTATTCTGTGGTAGTAGCTGGGGTGTGATAGTGGTGGGTTTGTGTACTATTGAGTCGGAACCAACCCCCGCTGACCATCCAGCGATTTTTCAGAGGCATTAAATAGCTTGGGAGGGAATTGTTCATCTTTCTCCCTCTAAGCAGCTGGTGGATTTAAACCCTATGCCTTGGGTTGACAGTGAATATCCTTACTTCCGAGTCACCAGCTCTTCATGGTGGATATAGGCTGTTACGTAAGTAAGGATATTTATTTTTTGAAACTTAAAGAGTGACTGAAGGTTAAGCATTAAGGAGCAGTTTGAATTGAAGATACATGTATGGGAGTTGTTGGTAATATAGATGTTAATGAAAGAGGAAGACATTGACTTGAAGTTTCCAAAGTAGGTAGAAACCAAGTGTGAAACAACTCCAGGGACATAGATGAAAAGATAGAGGACTCTGAAAACTTGAGAGGTAGGGAGACAAGCTGGAGTTTACAAAGTTTAGAATTTTAAGAAACAGTCATCAGTATCACATGGCACTGGTAACAGGAATAAAAACTAATGGCAAATGACTGCTGGCTAGCAGTAATATAGTAGAGTTAGAGATAAACAATTTGTTAGCATTGCTGTGATAGAAAGAGCCTGGTGTGTGGGAGAAAAGGTGATCTGACAGAGTGTGGAAATTTTTGAACAGTATCATTAATAAAATGTAAAAATAAAAATAAAATATCAAAAAATAAGGCCTCAGGAATAGATGGTATACCAAGTGACGTATTTCAGCTAACAGATGCTGTCCTGGACGTGCTCACCAAGTTGTGTCAAGAAAAATGGAGAACAGCCACTTGGCCAACTGACTGGAAGAGATCTATA